TATTGGTCCAATAATAGTGTTGCAGCTGTATTGCCAACAATCTTTCTTGCCTTAATGCCCAGCTGGTCATGGCACATGGGGTTTGGTAGATCGGTCGGGGTGGACCAAATGTCTCCATGGACATTTTTTTTAAAAATATATTTTGATTGATTTCAGAGAGGAAGGGAGAGGAAGGTAGGACTGTATGCAGAGGCCAGCACTTACAGGGCTGTATGCTAGGCAGTGACAAAAATCAGATTTTCTGTGTTAAAGATCACACAGACACAGACTCTTATGCAGAAGCCCACGACCCACCCCTCTATCCCTTGGCGATTTCTTGGAATGAGAATTCTTGGCCTTAGCCCCACCCTCCAGTGTAGCTGGGGACGCAGAGGTCCCACCTCTCAGAGAATGCAGGATGCCTGGCTCTGGGCCCCTGTGAGTGCAGCTGAGGTTGTGGGCGTGGGGCGGCCCAGGGCCTGCTGGGACTCATCAGGCAGCCTGGAGCTAAACAGCTCCTGAACAGCTCTCCCTGTTCTTCCACCCCAGCCACCTCTCCCCAGCTCGGGGAATGCCTTGGGCACAGCACTTCTCTCTTTGGGAAACTATAAGGGGGTGGTGGTGGGGGGGTTCCCTGGCTTGGAGTGGGCTATTTTGCACCTCCTTGGCCCAGGTACACACACACACCTGCCTGTGCTTGGGCCCTGAGGGATGCTAAGCAGGTTTAGGTCACCAGAAGACCAGTAGCAGCCCCATGCCTTACCTGTGGATGGTGATTCCAGAAGGCTGTGCCAGCCCCTAACCTACACCTTCGTGAGAGCACTCGGAGCCAAGGGAGGAAGCTCTCCAGGCAGAGGCAGAGGCAGAAGGTGCAAGACTGGTGCTAGGAAGCGGTGGGGGAGAAGCAGTACTATCTCCTCCACATGCCTATTCTGCTGTGGCTCTGCAAGGGGACACAGGGCCTTGACCTCAGAGGTCAGGGGACACAACCTTCCTGGTGCAAAACAGCAGTCTCCACCTCACATAAGACCCTGGGAAAGGACAGTGGCCAGGGGAGGGTCCTCTGGCAGAGGACTCTGTGATTTTCCTAACGACATATCAAGTTTTTTAAAAATATTTTTTAAATTGATTTCAGAGATGAAGGGAGAGGGAGAGGGGGAGAGAGACATCAATGATGAGGCTGCCTCCTGCACGCCCCCTACTGGGGATCAAGCCTGCAACCGGGGTATGTGCCCTGACCAGGAATCGAACCAGCAACCTCCTGGCTCATAGGTAGACGCTCAACCACGGAGCCATGTCAGCCAGGCGACGGATCACTTTTCACTGTTTTCCCCTTACATTGATCCAGCTTCAGAAATATTGTCTCTATTAAATAAATCGGTTATATTGTCATAACCAATTTGTTTTTCCAGTGTTTATCAGCAATAGCCCCACCAATGTGGTCACATTGGGTTGATACTTGCTCTCCTAGTTAAATGAGAGCCTCACTAAGAAAAGTGTAGAACTGGTGTTAGGTTTTTTTGGGTTTTGTTTTTTGAAATATACAAAGTGAAGTGAAGTTCTATATAGCCATCCTCAGTGACCCCAGCCTGGGAGCCCCTATGTAGGATCCTGGGGGAAGAGGGCAGATTTGGAAGGACTAGAAGGAGGGAAGGCTCCTTGGAGGAGGAGAGTGATGGGCCAGAGCCATCTGGAGAAGAGGAAGCCTGGGTCAGGCCACGTGCGCTGGGCCCTTGGCTCTGTGGGCCCCTTCTTACTGATGACGTCGCCTGTTCTTACCTGGGAGAGGAGTGTTTATGAAGAAACAGGCCTGAGAATTTAGGCCATGCAGCCAGCTCCTTGCGCAGTTAACCCCGGAGCCCCCTGCTACAGGGAGAGCGAAGGATGGATTCACTGGTATATGGCAAAGGATATCTTCATTCATTCATTCCACACGTTTTTATTGAGCCCTTTGATATGTGCCAGGTTGGGCTGGATCCAGAGGAAAATAAAACAGACTGTTCCTGGCCCCACAGAGCCATAATCACACAAATGACCGCCTGATGCTAACGGGGCGGAGGGCCCTGCAGGAGAGGTACTGGGGGTCATGAGGAGCGAATCTTGTCCAGACTGGGGCGGTCTCAGGAGGTTTCCCCGAGGAAGTGACATTTACAATGAGACAGGAAGCAAAGAAGAAGGGAAGGCCCACGGGATGGGGGAGAGGAAGTTTCAGCAAGAGGAAAAAGGAATGGGAAATGGGAGAAGAAGGGGGGCCCTCTCATGACCCGTTCTCTCTTTCTCTAGGACTTGGCTCTGCCTCCACCCACTGCCTGCTCAGCCCTCGCTGCCATTGGGGGAGCCTCGCAGAAGAGCGGCCCAGTTTTGCCTCCTTCACGCCTCCCCTCCCACCCTCTCTCTCCTCAGGGCCCCTCTTGGCCCCTCTTCTCCCAGAGCAGCAGTTTCCAGGGTCCCCCACGACAGACACCCTGCTCCCAGGGCCCACGTGCCCCCCAGCGACCTGGCGTTTCCCGGGCTTCCCCTGCTGGCTGGGCTGGGCCAGGGGGCGTGTGAGAGGCTCAGGCTCTTGTTCCTTAGGCCAGAGGGGCTGGAGGTAAAGGCCCACCCCCTGATGGGGGGAAAAGGGCACCTGGATCCCTGGGAGGGCTTCTTCGCAGAGATGCAAAGACCCAGACCTGGGGAGGAAAGTCTTAGGTCCCCTCATTTGGAGAATTTTGAAGCAGAGTGGTCCTTGGATCCTCCTTAACTGAGGAGGAAGATGTGACGTGGGCCCCTAAACCCCACCTCTCCTCTGGCCCACCTCCCTGCTGGCTTTGCACCTCCCTGGGTGGAAATAAGTCTAAATTGTGGGAGGATTTGATGGATGGAGTTGGATCCGAGGAGGTGGGGGTCATTGCAGAGAAGGAGCATATGTGGAGACGGGACAAACTGAGGCAGGGTGCCCCCTCCATCCCACTACATTGCTAATCAGATTAAGGAGACATTTTTTTTTTTTCAGAGAGGAAGGGAGAGGAAGAGAGAGACAGACACATCACTGATGAGAGAGAATCATCAATTGGTTGCCTCCTACACTCCCCACACTGGGGACTGAGCCCGTAACCCAGGCATGTGCCCCAACTGGGAACCAAACGGTGATCTTCTGGTTCATAGGTCAATGCTCAACCACTGAGCCACGCCGGCTGGGCCTAAGGGGACATTCTGAATCTCAGCTTATTTTGAGGGAGATGAGAAGAAGGTTTCCATCATTTGAAGCACCCCATCCCTACCCCCATGAGGGGGAAATCAGAGATCTAGCTTGGGAAGGGGATCAGGAATTGATTTGTTCCCTGAATATCAGGGCAACTCCTTTCTTCTCTGGGGCCCAAGACCCTTACCCAGTCTCCCTGCTGCCCCTCCACATCCTTGTTTTCCATCCCTCTGATTTCTGTGACCTTGGGATGTGCATGCAGGCCCGTCCTTCTGGCTCCATTTCCCCAAGACCCAAGCAAGTGGGGTAGGGAGGTTCTCTGTAACATTCTACTGCAGACCATGAATAAAATGCCCTTGGCAAACTGGCCCCTTGGCTGACATTTCTGCTGCCCTCTGATGTGGTGTGGATCTAAACAGCACCCAAGATTCCTGATGGGAAGAGCAAGGGGGCTAGGGATGAGGCCTCAGTCGTGGAGCAGACGTGGAAATGAGGCCAACCAGTCTCCTCCCTCCTGCTGCCATCACGTCCCAGACAGAAAGGCTGAAAGCAGCCACTCCGGCCACGCAGCCAGCCAGCCTCAGGGAAAGAACAGCAGCAGAACAGGGCTTCTTTGCAGAATGACCCTCAGATCCCGCCCTGGGTCTCTAAGCAGAGCTCTCAGGGGCTGGAGGTGAAGGGGGGTGTTGGCAGGGGTCCCCCCTGCTCTGAGCCCCAGGTCCTAAGAGTGATGGGAGGAGGTGATGAAGCATTGGATGGCTGGGGAAGGGGAGACACATTAGGGTTTTTTGCTTAACCAAGGAAATGCCAAGGGGATTGAACCCTATTGCTCTCCTATCTCCAGGCTCGTCAATAACAGGGTCAGGATTTGTCTCCACTTATCTCTATTATGAGGAACAGAGACCAAGGAGGTACAGAGGACCTTTTTGTCCATCTTTTTTCCCCTCACTCAGAGTAAGGGTGCTTCCCTGTCCCTGGGATCCCTGTCCATTTTGCTTTCTGTTACCTCTCGGTCCTTCCTCGTGGCAGGTGTGTCACTGTCAGGAGTGGGATGGGAAGGAGAAACCCAGAGTAAGACAGGGTTGGGCCTCACCCCACAGGAAGACTGAGGAAAGCCAGGAACCCAAACCCTGGGTTTGCAAGCTAGATATAGGCTGTAGCTTCCTGGTCAAGCTGCCCAGATGACCATGCTTATAATGCCTGGCCTCCCCATTGCTCTCCTATTATTAATATTAATAACTAGCCAATCATGATGGAAGCTACAGCTTCACGCTCCCCAGGAAGCCACTGGTCCATTCCCTGCAGACCCCTGGAGGAAGGGATTGAACAAAGGGGGAGACGGGCACATGCACAACGAAGTTGGGGTGATATAGGGAAGGTGCTTGTCTGTCCGTCTAGCCTAGAAAAAAGGTGATCCGTGAGGATGGTAGAGCCACTCCAAACATACAAAATCACGGAAGGATAAAATCCCCAGAGTCCCCGCTCCCTTTTCGCTCTTACTGTATGACCCGCACTCACCCTCCATGTGGCCTTAAGCAGCTGCATGGCCCATGGCCAGGCGGACCCCACACACAATGGACTGCAGCTGGGAACACAGTCTAAGCCAGCCAGATGCTGGACTGGACTGGAGTTGAATACGGAGCAGAAGTTCTGGGCAATGACCTTACTTCTAGCCCAGCTGAAGACAAGATTGGACTTCTTTCGTGGCAAGATGGATGGAGACGGGACCTCGGAGGGAAACCCTCTTGATTTTACATCGTCAATAAAGCTTTCCACGAAACCCCATCCTCCCATAGGAGCCTCAGGAAGTTATTTTCCTTTCAGCACCCCAAGAACTCCACTCCCACCGATAACAATCGCAGGGGCTGTAGAGAAAACTACTTCCGCCTCCTCCCAAAGCCATAGGCGCAACCCCAGGGCTTTCCCAACAACCTGCCCAGTTTGAGAAGACAGAGAGTTAGCGTTGTCTGCTCTAGAAAGAGGGGCTGGAGCCCAATTTAGAGAGGCCAGCCCCAGGGACAGGGTCCTATCATGGAAACCAATGTGCCTGCTGCCTGACCCCTCCTCCTCTCCGGTGGTTTGTGGCTTCTGTGACCCACCACATTTCAGGCAGTGCTTCACGGCCACTATTCTAAAATTGCCCTTTGGGGTCGGTGAGTTTAGGAGACTGAAAAGCAGGTTCCAGAGGACATGCGTGTCCAGGCGATGCCCTCTGCATGTTAGACAACAGGTGCACGTAGAGCAGAACTCCTCAACCTCAGCACTATTGACATGTTGGCTGCAAAATTCTCTGCTCTAAGGGGCTGTCTGTACATTCTAGAATGTTCAGTATGTCCCTGGCCCCTAGATAGCAATAGTGCCCCCCCCACACACACACACACCCTGCCTTCTCCAGACATTGTGAAATATCCCCTCGTGGGGGAAAAAATCAACTCTGGTTGAGAATTTTTTTTTTTTAGAATAGTTTATTGATTTTTAGAGAGAGAGGAAGGGAGAAGAGAGAAACATTGATGTGAGAGCGTAACATCATTGGCTGCCTCCCGCATGCTCCCCACAGTGGATCAAGCCTGCAACCCAGGCATGTGCCCTGACCAGGAATCGAACCAGCAACCTTTCCGTGCACAAAGGACACCCAACCAACTGAGCCACACCGGCCAGTACGGTTGAGAGTCTCTAAAGCCAACTATGGCTTCAGCAACTCAGGTTGTTCTGGCAAAGAGGAGACCCAGGCGCCACAACAGAGAACTGTTGGTTCCCACATTGCAAGAATGCCCTCTGGTGGCCAGAGTTAATATCAGAGCTAGGAAGAGCTCAGAGCTCTGGACTGGCCTGGGTGGGTACATCCCATGGGGGGCACTGTTTGAGGTGAAGGGATGATGGGCACCTTGGAGTCTTCTGAAAACAGGAAGCAAGTTAAAGGATAAAAGCATTTTATAATAATCCTGCTGTTTTCAACTCCTTTTGCGAATCATGGACTAGTCACCCAAGGATCAGCAGGTCTAAGGTGACAACAGACTGCAGGTTGTCATTTCCTCAGGTACATAATCGATGCTGCTATCAATTCTAGACCACACTTTCTGGTCATCTGTGGTCATGAGCCTCCCCTGAGAACACTGAGTGGCTACTCAGCCTTCTAGGAGCAGTGGGAACTGTGGACCCTGAGAAAGAAAGTACCTCTAAGAAGGGCTCTCAGTGACTTAACTGGGCTCAAGTTTAAAAAACAGAGCCTAGCAGCTATTTCTACACAGGCAAACCTCTCACAAAAACTACACTTCAGGGGAAAACCTGCACTAAACTGCCTGCCTCCCCACCCTGAACTGCCTGCCTGCTCTGACAGTCAACTGAACCAGCCTTTATAAAGAAGTTCCTGGAATCCTATTTCAACCAATAGGACTGGGGTTTTCCCCATCCAATTGGAGCTATGCAGTTGTATCTCCAGCAGCATATTTATGGACCAATCAGGGTGATGCCTTTGGGGCCAATCAAACTGCAGGGATTTGGAGTCCTCATTTGCATGAGGACCAATCAGGGACCAGGGGCAGGACTTCTGTCTATGTACGTCAGCTCCCCTTTGGCTCTGGGACCATACTTTCCTTTTCCACCAAAGACCATTGACAGTCTCCTTGCTGGAGCTGAGGCAGAAACATTAAAGATGAAACACCATAGATGTCCCAGCAGACCAGGGCAGGAGCAGAGCAGAGCTATCCCGCCAGAGAGGGCCCTGGTTGCCATGGTGTCCCACAAACGGTACTGCTTCATAACTGAGTGGTAACACGATGGGACTGCTCCACGGCTGTCCTCTGTTCACAGCCTTACTGTATCACAGTTCAGCTGTCTGCACAGAATACTTTCCTTCTTCACTGCACCCCAAATTAGGGAATCCTGTTGGTGTTGAATTGACATCAACAACCATCAGTTGACAGAACCAAGACAAGATTCAGCTTAGTCAGCTCACCAACCACGCCTGCTCCTGGGCCTTCAGGTCTATCACACCAACGACCAAGACAGAAACACTCACTCAAGCAGAATTTTAGGGAGCTAGACTTGCAAGCTTCATGAAGCTTAGACTGTTAGGAGCCAGAGGGATCTCTGAGATCATCAAGTTCAACCCCTTAATTTTATAGGCCCAGAGAGAGGAATGGACTTGCTCAAAATTGTGCATGTAGAAGAGCCAGATTTAGAATGTAAATTTCCTAATTATCAGTTAATGTTTTTTCCATCTCACCATAATTACTTGGGTTGAGAGTTTAAGAGGTCCTTAAAATTCCTCAGAAATAAAAAGTATATTATATATTGAGAAAGAAATTTAAAAAGTCATTCCTGTGTGATATTTTTATTGTTTTGTTAATCCTCACCCAAGGATATTTTTTCCATTGATTTTTAAAGAGAGTGGAAAGAACAGAGGAGGGAGGGAGGGAGGGAGGGAGGGAGGGAGCAAAGGAGGGAGAGAGGGAGAGAGAGAGAGAAAGAGAGAGAGAGAGAGAGAGAGAGAGAGACATCAATGTGAGAGGCACATCAATTGTTTGCCTCCCGAATATACTAGTACCTCTACAGGGGATAGGGATCAAACCTACAACCCATGTATGTGCCCTTGACTAGGAATTGAACCCGAAATCCTTCGTCTGCAGGCCGACGCTCTAACCACTGAGAAAACTGGCCAGGGCCTGTGTGATTTTGAATATGACCATAGTAGCAAACATTTCCCTTTTTGTATGCATTTTGGCATTTGATTACTTATTGTCTGGCGCTGTTCTCCAATTGTTGGTGTGCATTAACATAGTGTCCCTGTAAAGCCATATTGT